TCTTAGGATTTTTTTCATGGTATATATGCTCTTAACCGTTTAGAATTCAAGAAATGTAATCGGACGCTATTGTTGATAAATGTATACTTACATTTTGTTGTTAAAATTTGTCTTGACATGAATAGTACAGAGTAGAAATCATTTGGCTTATCAATAGATTATAAATCAGTTGACAGTTTATCGTTTTGTGTTTAAAGAACAAAAATATTCCCGTGAATTTATATAATACAACAACACACACACCCATATCTATAATTACCAAAATTCCATGTGTAACTGGGTTTGGAAGCTCTATAGTTTTGCTGCAATTCTTCGAAATTTTCTACAAAGAAACATAACATAGCTTTGGCAAATATAATGCACAAAAAGAATCAAAAATTGTATACTATACTGTAATAGTAAAAATTTAGATATTTTGATTTACTTTGGCAAATATTTTGATGCTTTAAAAGGTATACATTTAGTTTATTAGAGGATTTTTGGTCAGGATTAGCTGAATTAATGTATCGCCTAAACAATTTTCTAAAGTAAAAAAAGTGATACTTTATAATAAATATTTTATTATTTACCGATGAACAATTGACGTCCACAGCAGTCTTAAAATGATTGTCGTGTATTTCAGAAACTTCAAATATAGCTTCATGGTAAGAGAGATTTTTCATGGCTTCCCAAAATCCAAGAGGAAGCACCATTGTAATCTTGATATTACCGGCACATTGTGAGTCAAGGAAGGGGTGCCATTGAACATTGTAGTCACAAATAGTTTCTACAACAGATAAAAAAAAATAGCCACAAAAAGTATCTTCAACAGATTTTAAAAAAGGCAAAGCCACATAAACTATCTGAAACAGATTTCAAAAACACAGTCACAAATAGAATCTTCAACAGAATCAATATTATAACCACAAATAGTATCTATAACAGGGAAAAACGTAATAATTGGACATATATTATCTACTACAGATTTTTCTTAAATACGTTATAGATTCAAAATGCCACAAATAGTATTTGCAAAAGATAAAATCCGTCAAAGCCACAAATAGTATTTGCAAAAGCTAAAATATGTCAAGGCCACAAATATATAGTATCTGCAAAAGCTAAAATACGTCAAGGCCACAAATAGTGTCTGCAAAAGTTTTTCTTAATGAAAAAGTCATTGCCACAAATGTATTTATAACAGAAAAAAACTTGTTAATATCATAATAAATATTTCTTGAAATAAAAAAAACACAGAGTCTGACAAATCTGTTTCATATTTGTATTGGATATTTTAATGACAAAAGATGTTAATGGTCAATCTTAATGATATGACAAACGGGATAAGTTCAGCTTTTCCATCGTCAACTTCTCTTATTAATTTAGAGACATTCCACTATCACCTGCAGTTTGTGATGTCTACCAGTTGATTCGGCACAGAAGAACATGCTCTAAACACGAACAATTGTTATAAGCATTGAAGGCTACTGCGAAGAACTTGATGTTACAGGGCTTTCAACAATCCCTTTTTAAGTCAGTATTTCGCAATTTCTGTGGGTTTTTTAATTACCTATAGTTGGGCCGCATTTTCACATATATGTTTCAATCCATTATTGCAAAGCCATTGTTTAAAGACTTATTTGACTAGGGGTCATTCCGTTTTCCTGATCAGTACAGAGAGCTCAGAGTGTCCTGACGACAAGGGATGCTTATACCTCCTAGGCACCTGATCTCACCTCTTGTTTTTGCATGTGTAGGTTTTTTGTGGCCTGCTCACAATTATTATTGTACTAGAAAATGTTAGAAGTAAAACATGATTGATTAAGCTACTCAAAAATTAAATGAAATGGGAATGTTCATTTTAATTCATGTCCTATTTTGTATGTATTTTTATGCAAGCATAAAAATGTTGTTGAATAAGATTACACAGGATAGAAATTGTTCATTTTACAATTATAAATGGCGAGGAATGAAGCAATTTTTCCTTACACCACCATTTAAGACAAAATCAAGTTCCTTTTTTTACAATTCACATCGTCATCTTCAGTCACTGATCACTGATTAGGATTCGTTTTTAGCATCTTCATTATGCCTTATGTTTATGAAAGAACAATAAAAAAATCAAATTCAATTTAGTTTTGCTTTTTATTGAATTATTGGAAGATGCTTAGAGCTTTTGTTCTTAGCATTAATAAGTATACTAATATGGCGTACTTATTTAAAACAGATACTTACTCATCTCGGTATAAAAAGAAAAACACAACTGCATAAGTCCAGTCATAAACAAAGCCACATATTCCCTCTTCATTATTAAAGCTAAAAAGTATTTTCAACCAATAAGCAAGAAATTTATCAGAAGGGTAGAGTGAGGAACATCGAGTTCAGTACTTTGTTAAAATACCTGCAGAGCAGTGTACATATATTTAAAGTTTGTCGTTGGATATACTGATTTAAATCTTTGTTATCTTTTAAAAGGCATATACTGAATACCACGGCCGTAACAGACCAGAGAGCATGCTTTGTGCTTTTGTTTTGACAGAGATGGTTTTTGATTATTCTACTTTATTGATTACTAAATATGTCATACGTCAGGTTACTGTTTTTGGACATCATACAATGTTTTAGTTAATGCTTAATATGCTTCTAAAAATAAAACAACCTCAAATAATTCAATCAAAATAAAGTTTGTTTGTTTTTTTTATTTATTTGGGTACCATCTGTTAACAAAAACAGAATGAATCTGGATGCATGTAGAATTTAAAAAAACTAAATTTGTTTTCAATCTTTGTGATTTGTAATTTTCTTTTCTTTTTGGATGATCACTGTGAATTACCTTCTGTACATTATAGAATATTTCAAAAAATTGATTCATTTTCGAAATTCTGGATTCGCGTAATGAAATCTTTTCCATCTTACTACATTGTACTGCGCAAAGCTGAATGTCTTTCGAAAGATACATCAAGTATCCTTCCTTGTTGGTCCTCACCGGAAAAGTCTAAATGTTGGCGTCTTCTGTTCACTTATAAATAATCATCTTCAATTATTATTCCCTTTCTTTTCACTCAGAATTACTACTTTTATTTTAAGCTATTAATGTTTCGTGTTCCTCTAGGATCAAAGTCATCGATACAATTAACAAGAATAAGTATTTATTTCAAATCAAACGATAAGCAATTGTAAAACTCTCACTTCTTTTTGAGTAATTTAAGATTTCGTACAGAAAATTAATCAAAATTCTGCAACATATTACCAAATAAACATTTTCCAAAACCAGAGACATAATATTGTTTATATCTCTATCGTAACATTCATATGTCAAAAAAAAAAATTCGAAACAAATAGTATCAAACCATTTTTTTTTTACAGGTAAACTGTTTTTTTTCTCCTTGTCTCCAGTCGTCATAAGGAAGTACAGTTGGTATTTCCAGCATCAGGGAACCAGTCAATGATTTAAATCTACATATTTACATGTATATCACAAAAATGTTTTGAAGAAAATCTTTTGAGTGATTTAAGCACATTAAATAAATGTCATTGTGTAGGTTTAGGTAATCTGTTTAACCCATTGCTATATATGGGTAAAAGGGTAATTTCATTGTTTTTGTCTTCCTGGGACCTAAGGAATGTGGTAAAAAGCCATTGAAATTAAATGTCATTTTCCAAACATGTACTTCTTTAGAACTGGACATCAAGAAGAAAACTGCTGCCCAGGATATTATAATAGACAACGAAACCTCTACAAACCTGTGGAAAAAACTTGACCCCTAGATCAGGATTCAGGTTCCTGATGGCTGAGGCTAACTTGATATTTCATTGTTAATGCAATATATTTTAGAAATTCGTCTTTAACAAAGTACATTAAACAGTCAAATATTTAGTGTGATTAAATGAACGCTTTGCCCTGTACCAAACTTGTGAAAAATATAATCCATGGTTCATTCTTTTTTTAGTATAGAAACATTTGTTTTTCAGACAAACTTTTCAGAAAATTTTTTGTCAAAAATTCTTTGCATTTTTGTCAAAAATAAATAAATATTGCCTTCATGTTAAGTCGATAATGTGGAATAAAGGTTGGGTTAAGTTGGTCATAAAAATTGATATTATATCTTTGTAAATCTTGTCATATCGACATCTACCAGACAAACTTTTGTGTGATTTCTACACAGTACTGGATTCGATTAGTAGGCCCCAAGGTGGTGCTATAAACTGAATTAAGTATTACCAATTTTTAAGCTAAAGTAGGCTACTGAAAAGGAAGTTAATTCTACAGGAATTTCAACAATCTCGTATAGAATCATATTTGTTTTTCAAATTCTATCTTGACATTTTTTTTACAAATATAACCTATCGTTGAGCCGTATTCTAAGTGACAATGTTTCAATTCAATGGTTAGCTCATAGTCTTTACACTAAGCTGTCTAAGGATTACTCCCCTTTACCTGATCAATATAGATTGCTCACAGAGGGTGTAACCGGTTGACGGGGAATGCTTACTACTCTTAGGCACCTGATTCCACCTCTAGTGTTTACAGAAGTCTGTGTTTTGCCCCGTTCAAAATTTTTATTGTTTAATTGATTTATGAGATCGATTACTTTTCGTTATTTCGCCGTTTTCATTATTCTTTGATACTGAGTAAAAAAAAACACCATGAAAAGTTGCAATATGCTTTGTCGTTACTAAATTTTTAAAATGTTTGTCTCCCACTTGAAGCTTGATTAAGAAAATATTACTCCTTTTTACCCTAAGAAATTTCATAAATATGATACTGAAAGTAAAGTCTTCACTCGATCGTTAAATTCATGTCAAATAAGAACAGCTTTCCGATTCCAAGTGGGGCTTAGATTGTCGAACTAAGGGATATTTGATACTTGGATTTCGACATCCATTAAAGGATGCTGCAGAAATATATAAAAAATAATTTCCGGAAACTATTTTAGTCATTCATGATGTGATATAGTTAGGGAAGTTTATTGTCCACGTGATTAACAACATCCTTGTTCTCTCTTTCTCGGTATAATTGGCATGAAGATGAAATGTTATTTAGGACTAGTGCTTATAGCAAACACTGGTTTGTATTTAGTTTAATTTGCTTGCTGTGTTATTTTTTTTTAAACATAAAGCATATTTGTTAAATCTTTGTACCCTTTTGTCGTCATTTAAAACATGTTTGACAACGTCTGTTGTGATGAATGAATGGAGCAGATATTTGATAGTCTACATAATATTTTAATGAACTAATGAACAAAAATGGGTTTAAAAATAAAATATAAGACAAAAATGGTAAATTGAGCTACATGTATCTACCGTAAATATCCTCTCACAAAACATACGAACCTTACTTTAAATACATCTTAACTCTAACTTGATTGTAACACCCCCCCCCCCCCCCCAATCTACGATGTTCTTCCTGATCGTACTTAAAGAATTTAGGCCGAAATTAGCTCGGAAAATAAAATGTTACACCAGTTTAGACACAGACTTACAAAATTTAAAGGATATCATAGATGAAAAGACTGCTATATTCTATAATTAAAGTTGCAGTACTTATGAGTCAAAATCATGTGTTTCCTTTAAGATGTTTGTATCGTGAAGCGAAAGATTTATGAAAACTAGAAGCAAAGCGAAAATTTGACATCTTTTTTGAAGATTGTATCAAAATTCTTGGTCTACCTTCATTCATTTTTGGGACTTGAGACCAAGTTAACTTCAACTTTTAATTCTGCCCAAGAGTACAATTAGGAGAAAGAAGTAAGCAATATTTTCGTCTTGGTGCAGACAAAAATTATATTTTTCTCCATGAAAGTTCTTTTTAGGTTCCAAAACCTGTACTTTTCCGGAACGTAACACTTTAAGAAATTGAACAAAATTTGCACGGGTCATGCAAAAATTCTATTTCTGTCAATTATCAATTTCCTGTTTTTGAAGTGACAGCCACTTTAGTGTTTTATTTATTGATTATTTTATCATGAATTTAAGAAGTGTATTTCACTTTTGAACGTATATTAATGTAAGTTCTGATACGGTTTACCAAGGCATATTTCTTGAAAAGCAATGGTGCTTCATAAGTAAATTACCTTAGCAAAAAAGTTCATGTTCTCACGTAAAAATAATATACCTAATTTTTATCTATTTTTCAACTATTTGTTTATTTCATTCAAACACAGAGAAATTGGCAAAATGTCTCTTTCTTCGTGTAAGCTCTAGCTGTCTGTTCTCATTGACATAACCCACTCATCAATCGTAAAAATAGTTTTTAAAGCAATTAAAGTTCCAAGATCTTAAGCTACAATTCATCTATTGCCCCAAACCCGTAAACTTGTTCCATATACAAAATAGTTCTTGTAAAACAGTCATTCTACGAATAAATGGACCAATTCAGAGTATAAAACATGAAAAAAATAATTGTTTCAAATAGCAAAATGAACATCATAATTATGTGAAGGACATATCAGTGAACTTGAAAACAAAGAATTGTCCACAAATCTAGTATTGTTAACTTTTTACAACAATATCAAGATACCATTGATTTTAAGGTAATGTTACGGAAGTTAATACTTCATCAAGCCTTGTTATTTTTTTAAATAAAGCTGAATTTGACCAATTTTTCGTTTCTGATGTTCAGTAAAGAACGCTAAAGTATGATTCATGAAGTCTCGCAAGAATCCGAATTTAAATTAAATTTTCGGGAAAAATAGCATTACCGAAGTTAATCGTTAAGGAAGTTAATTCCCAGCAGTAAAAGTTAAAATTCTCTTCAATAGTAAAATCAAAGTTTGTTTTAGGACATTAAAAAAAAGTATGAAGCATTTCGCTCCCAAAATAATAAAATTTTTTATACCTTTAATGCAAAAACTTTCCTGAATTACCGTTACGGAAGTTAAATTTTTAAGAGAGACAACTGTTTTGTCTAAATAATTTTGTTATGTCGAAAATGTAATCGTCTAAAATAGCTGACTCGCAACAAGAATCAATGATATAAGGTTCCGTGGTCACTTTTAGATAAGTTTCAGTTCTTTTTGAAATCTGCAATCTATGTGTGAAATTTAAAACAAAATCGTTACGGAAGTTAATCGATTTTAAGCGACATGCTTATGATTTAGCATTAAAGGAGATTCATGCATTTCTTTGCGAGAAGTGGTTTGATATCTTTTTATATAGGATAAAAGACATTTTTTAACATTCATTTCAATCTATTCGGAAAGATTTTACGGCTGAAAATTTCATCTTGAATTTTGTAAATAAATGAAGCGACATTGAGATTTGCAGTGGAATAAGTTTTTCAACATTACATTATGTTCATATCAAATCTTAAACTGCAAATACATGTATATCGGTGAATATTTACAAAATCATGTGTGTATGTTAAGTCTTGGAGTTGAAATCGATCTTTAATAAGCGACATAAAAAATCCTTAATTGGTCATGTTTTTGTAGAATGACTGAAAACTGATAATCACAATAAATTTTTATTGTCATCGAACAATATTCCTGAGGAAAAAAAAAATAGTTTCTCGACAACATTTTTCAAGTTTTAGCGTCCACTCACTCTTAATTACCCTGTTTACCTTATAATGACCCAATGACTAATTGAATGACATTGATTTACAGTAAATGCCTTAATCTCTATAAAAGCCCAGAACACAACCGTAGAATATGGAGGAACAGATATAGACATCAGTTGTGTAGTGAATGGAACGTCCCTAGCCAAGGTGATCGCTATCCAAATGAAGAGGTCCGACACAAACATAGTAGCCATTGTAATGGACAAAGGTGTTTCATGGCAAGACAAAGAATTACAGAACCGGAACGGTGTGTCTGTTAATGCCTCTATAAGTAACGTCACGTCATCTTATCTTCGATTGATGGTATTGAAATCAGCTGTCAGATATCCATCTGACATGGGTAGTTATCACTGTTCGCTCAGTGCACATGGTGATAGATATTCCTTGAAGACTGAAGAATCTTCAAAACTATTTGTGAATATTACAGGTCATTTCTCTGTTTTCTACAGTTACTTTCTTAATATTAAAGAAAGTGCATTTATATTATTTTTTTAAATAATGTTTATTTATCTTTTTTTTTTTTTTTTTTTTTTTTTTTTTTTTTTTTTTTTTTTTTTTTTACACATTTAAATTCTGGAAAAATGATCATAACTAATTAATTATAATTCGATTTTAAAGGTTTTGAAGAAACTTTTACAAATGGTAGGTATAACTGCAAATATATATCATCTTTTTATTAAGATTTCGGTAATATTTTTATTACATGTTCACATATTGAAAACTGATCTCATAACTTAATTTAAATTCAATTTTTAAGGTTTTGAAGAGGCTTTTACAAATAGTAGGTACAGCTTCACATGTATATATAATATTCAATGTTTTTGTAGTTGGATGTTGGATTTACTTACGAGTGCGATAGAATTTTTAAAAACATTTTCATGAATGCAAAGCATTAGTGAAAATAATTTTTTAAACCTTCCGTCTTCCGAATGAAATAAATTCCACATCCAACTACAAAATATTGATTTTTTTATTATTAATTTTTTTTTAATTTTACCTGTGCTAATATCTTGTTGTAACCAGTGTCGTAGGCTGTGACGTCATTGAGCGGTTGTGAGACGACGTAACTGATTGTGAGATTAAAATTGTAAAAATGGATATTAAGAACAATTTTCAGAATTAATTTGCCGTTTAAGTCTGTGTCAGGATGGTTTGTTTTCTCTCGATATCTTAAACAATTGTGTAGTTTGATTATAATACTCATCGTGAAGGGAATTATGAAATTCTCGAATTTTACCTCACTCTTTCACAGTGAAAAATATCACTCTTGATATTTTTCACTGTGAAAAATGTCACTTTTTAAAATATTACTTTTATTCAATTGATAAACAAAGGATATTCAATGTTTTATAGTTGGATAAGGAATTTATTTCACGAGTAGGATATAATTTTTTTTTAAGTATTTTCACTCGTGCTTTGCACTCTTTAAAATTAAAAAAAAATCCTGTCCTACTCGTGAAATAAATTCATATCCAACTTCAAACATTGAATTTCTGTTTATTACATTTTCTTTGATTTTAGCTTTGCCTTAGTCTTTTCGTAGCATCTCACAGTGTCAAAGGCTGTGAGGTCATAGTTGAGCAGTTGAGACATCATAGCTTAGAGATTGTGACATTGAAAACATTGTAAATATAGATTTTAGCAGCAGATTTGAAAAGAAATCGGCAGTTTTAATCGCTATCTGGATAATTTAGTTACTCTCTCTATCTTATGACAGACCAGACAGTATTTTTTACAACACTCATACTAAAGGGAAGGAAAATCAAGAGTTTTACCGCTCTTCTGATGTTCTCTCACAATTTGACAGTACATAACTTTGATGTCCTTTTACAATGTGACAGAATATCACTTTGATGTTCTTTCACAATGTGACAGAATATTACTTTGATTTCCTTTCACAATGTGACAGAATATCACTTTGATGTCCATTCACAATGTGACAGAATATCACTTTGATCTCCTTTCAAAATGTGACAGAATATCACTTTGATGTCCTTTCACAATGTGACAGAATTTCACTTTCAAAAAATAAATTACAGCATTTCACTGTTGAAAATGTAATAAATTACAGTATTTCACTGTTGAAAATGTAATAAATTACAGCATTTTACTGTGAAAATGTAATGAATATGGTTCACATACATTTTTAAGGGTCCTCCACACCCCTTGACTTGTGACGTATATCGAGAAAAAATACATTTACTTCTGGTGTTGTATAGTTTTTGCACAGACGAATTGCCTTTAAGAGAGTCTTACAAACGCATTATTAAGAGATGACGGTTTGTCAAGGGAAAAGTATGAAGTAAACTGAGAGCGAGAACTTACTCATAAACAATGAACACATGCCATGGCATGATCATGGGTTGATCGAAAGAAAAAGGTGTCGACATTTTTTCGAATAAAAGAATTGCAGACCTTTTGAGTTTTTGTAGCATAATAATTCAAGAATATCAGGTTTATCTTTGAAAAACGTTTTAGTCTATTTATACTTTCAGGCTAATCAATCCACTGCGATATCGGCAATAACATCTCATTTTGTGTTTATAAATATTGATGAATAGTGTGTATTTCTAGTTTTGCTCGTTTATCTGTCTAGTTCAGTTGCCAATAAGTATGATGACGTATGTGGAGAATTACCAAAGTTATTGACTCCTAGGTAACAGGAAAGATAACTCTAAAAAGGAACTTTGCTACCAAGGATTTTAAAATTAATTTTTTTACATCAATTAATTTGATTTTAATTCAGTTTCTTGCGTAATTTACTTCATTAATTTTCTTCTATACTATAAGGAGTCTTAACTTATTTTTCGTGCATGTATTTTAGAGAAAATGGGCTATATTTATTATTTATAATTTATATTAATTTCTTTTACAAAATATGTTAACTGAGCTTAATAATATATGCCAGGAAAAAAGCAAACTTTTTGTGCTACTTTTCAAATCTCGATGGAAAAATAACGTAAAACTCTGAAATTAATTTTTTTTTTAATAAGATGAGTTTAAATTATATTTCAATTCCTGTCCAGGTTTTAAATGTCGTTATGCTTGTCAAAAGTAATGCTTAGTAATATGAGAACATAAGCTGGGGGTGTGTGGAGGACCCTTTACACTGAATGCTGTTCCTACATGTATTTGGCGAACTGGTATTAGAGTGTTTAAAATATATACTGAACATATATAAAGTCTTTAAAGGCTTTTTTATGAATCCACTTGAATTGTTGCAATTGCTCTTTGAATGAGACGATTTGTATGGCATGTCATTTGTATGACACACCATTCTCAATTGAAGATAAAATATTTACTGCACCCGATGAACGTCGTTCATAGTGTATGATTAAAATCTATATATTTCTTTTCTTTTCTTTCAGGGGCCTATGCTGCAAACTTCTTTTGTTTTCCTTCGTATGCACTTGTTTTTGGATTAATTGTTTTGACGATAATGGAGCAAACATTCTGATGTGTATTGTATTGTATTAACGAATATCATCCTACAACTCTTATTTCAGGAATGTGTGATATTTTAAAGTCAATTTAAGTTGTTTAACAAGTGGTCAATGTGATTTGATCTATAATTTTGAGCATATTTTTAGAATATATGATTTAAAATTGAAAATGAATGTTATTAAAAAATGATTCTCAAGAAAATTCATTAAAACTTCAATTCGTAAAATATATTTACTGCAAGACCTTGAGTGAAGACTCTGACACCATTCAGATGATTTGGAGAAACTCTCTGAAAAGTCGTGCTTTTGAGTTTTAGATTCTATGGACACCCAAATATATATTTGTAAATGGCTTTTTATTCCTAGCGAGAGCTGATGATGTGACCAAAATGCATATGTATTATATGTAGCTTAATTTGTCATTTATTCTAGGAAATATGAGAAATTATTTGAATCACTGAAAATACCGCAAAGTACAAAATACTTTCTGTCCCAAATATTGTCCTTGTCGAAATATGCGGAAATTACAGACAATTAACTTAATATTGAAATTTGAAAGGGGAAACGTTTTAAAAAACCTATATATAACCGCTTAAACGTTAACTTGTGGAAGGTATAGTTTAACTTGGGTAACATTTAAAGATATTTTCTTTTTAAAAATGTCTCATGTTACAAACGTGATGTTATAATGGGAAACTGAGGTTTATGGAAATTTTAAAACTTCTATTAATTCATATTTTTCTCTGAAAATGACATTTTGTTTTCCGATAGACCTTTTTTTTTTTAAATCTACGCTCGTAGTATAGTTCCAAAAGGTTTACTTGTAGAAATCTGCACATCAAATCTTAATTATTTTATATAAAAACTTCAATCAATTTGTTTTTCTAAAATTTCATTTTGGATAATTATCATCGTGTACTTTAAGCAAGTTCTAACTCGAGACAAATAAAAAAAAATAGTTGATGAGCAAACACACACCTCTCAGATCATCAGAGGTGAGATAAGGTGCCATGGTGGAGTAGGCATCCTACGTCGACCAGTGGCGTAGCTGCCATTAGGCACCTAAGGCACGTGCCTACACTTAATTTTTTTCAGAAAAAAATAATTAGAAACAAAACTGTAAAAAAGAAAGAAAATAAATGACTAAATATCATTTTCGCCATCGCTAGAGAGATTATGAATGTATGAATAATCACCGATCTGTGCAAAGTACTGTAAACCAACTTTTATTCGCGACGACTTTATTTCGCGATTTACCGAGGGTAAACTAGTTCACGACGATTAATTTTCGCGATCAAGCCTTTTTTTATCTGTTGTTAATAGAAAGAAAGACTTTAAGGAACGGTTCACGGCGAGAAATATTCGCGATGACAAGGCTCTCGTGAACCTCGTGAAAATTTCTCGCACGCGAATAAAAGTTGGTTTACAGTAATAATAACCTGCAATAGTTAACCGACTGTTTCACTTTAGGACTCCTTATAAAATGTCTTTAAAATTTCTATATGCAAGTAATTAAATAGAGATATAAAACTCCCCTGATGCTCACAAGATATGTGTGGGATTAATTGTCATTTTAATCAATAATTAATTAATTTGAATTAACAGCAATTAACTTTATTATAGCTCTCCACACTAATTTACCACTTTTAAAAAAATTCTTTGTGGGTAGACTAGCTTTTTTCTGGGAAAAAAATTTATATTTGTTCATTATTACCTATCTATAAAAAGGGCAATACATCTGATCCAGGTAATTACAGAGGCATAAGTATTACTAGCAGCCTTGGAAAATTGTTTACGTCCAATTTAAATAAAAGGATCGCTGCCTGGAATTCTGAGGAGTCAGTTATTACAGATGCACAATTCGGTTTTCAAGCTGGACGCTCTACTGTAGATGCCATATTTCCCCTTCAAAGTTTGATCTCACAAAAGTTAAATAAAAAACAACGTCTTTACTGCTGCTTCATCGATTATAAAAAAGCGTTCGACACAATTAATCGGGAGAAGTTGTGGTACACGCTCATCAAATTAGGGGTTACGGGAAAACTCATTCGGATTATTCAATCATTGTATTCGGACGTACGAGCCTGTGTAAAACATGTTGGCCAGGTATCTGATATGTTTAGTGTTAAAAGTGGTTTAATGCAAGGAGAAGTGTTATCACTAATCCTATTCAACATGTATGTGAATGACCTGGAAAACCATTTCATCAGTGAAAATTCGCCATCAGTGGAACTGCGAGAGCTTAATTTATTCATTTTAATGTTTGCAGATGATATGGTTATATTTGCAAATTCGTTGCAAACAATGCTCGATTCCTTATATCGATATGTTTCTACATGGGACCTTTCCGTAAATGCATCAAAAACAAAGATAATGGTATTCCGAAACAGTGGAACAGTAAATTCTTCATGGACATATAATGGGGAAATCCTTGAGTGTGTCGATTCTTTCAATTATTTAGGACTTACACTGTTTTATAATGGCAAATTTAGTTCTACACAAAAAAAGCTGGCAGATCAGGGGCGAAAAGCACTTTTTGGACTAAATCGAAATATCCAAATGTTTGAATTTAATGCAGAGACGCACTGTCAATTGTTTGATACATATATATTAAGTGTTTAAATTATGGGTGTGAAATTTGGGGCTTCCACAAATCACCTGAAATAGAGCGCATTCATCTTATGTTTTGTAAAAACCTACTAGGAGTTAAAAGATCTACTTGTAGTTATATGGTTTATCGTGAATAAGGCCGTTATCCATTAATCATAACCAGGAAAATAAGAATTATGAAATACTGGTGTAAATTACTTAGTACAAATAACTGTATATTGAAATCTTCTTATGAATATTTATTGTATAATGCTGAAAATAAATTACACTCCAAACTTAACTGGGCAAGGGATGTTAAAGATGAGTTGTTTAGAATGGGACTTGGGAATTTTTGGATCAATCAAGATTTTATTAATCCAATACAGTTTATATCTTTATATAAGGAAAGACTGTTGGATATCTACCTTCAAGATTGTAATGCCTTTTTTGAAAATTCAACAAAGTGTTTCTTGTATAAGCACATTGTGTGTGACAATTTTTCCAAAATCCATGCATATTTGACAAAACCTATTCATTCTAAGTTAAAGAAGTATATTACTAGAATAAGGCTTTCTTCCCATAGCTTAAGTATAGAAACAGGAAGATATCAGAAAATAGAAAGAAGTAATAGAATATGTCAATTTTGTAATGATCATTGTATCGAAGATGAATATCATTTTTTGCTTGAATGTCCTGTTTATGATTCTTTAAGAAGAAAATATATCAAACCATATTATTTCAGATCTCCAAATATGTACAAGCTTACTCAGTTACTCAGCTCTCGTGATGTTGGTGTTTTAGTTGGATTAGGGAAATTTATTTTTCATGCAATGATATTAAGAAATGATGAGTAATTTAATTTATATGTATATTATGTATAGATATTTTTCATGTATAATGGAGAGTTTAATGCATACTGTAATTGTTGGTGTTGAGGAGTCAGACAGATGGACACTAGGGGTTCCACCCCCCGTAGACTCTCGCTATGCGTGCATAATTATGTTAATTTTGTGTATACTAATGGGCCGTATGGCTTAAAGTTGTTTAATAAAGAAAGAAATATTAATTGTAAAACATTGCTTTGTGTCGGTTTTTTTTTTATTAATTCTTTATAAATAACTTTCTTATACACGTTCTCTAAATTTGATTACGCCGAAAAAAATATGAAAACTCTGACTTCTAACTTAAGATTTCTGGTTAAAAAAGTGGACTGCTCTTTTGTTAAAATCTTTTCAACTTAATATGAAATTTCATTTTAAAGAGACCCGTAATTTTGTATTTTAAACGCCCAGAATTTGTCACCCAGGGGTCTCAAAGTCGTGAAATCCATTTTCCGTCGGGGGGCTTCGCCCCCTTAACCCCCTACCAGGGCGCTGTCCTGGACCCGCTGGGGGCCTTAGGCGGCCCCCAGACCCCTCGCCGCACACAGAGTAATTTGTGCCTATACTTCATCAAAGTTCTAGCTACGCCCCTGTCGACAGGTCATCCCTGCCATGTGCTCCTTGTCATGATCGGGTAAAAGGAAAATACAATCAAACACAATCCGTCTCTAGGTCGATTGCTAACTGACGCTTTAATACACATTTTTTGGCCATAATTTTCATACCGAATTGACTACGGATTTCCCTTTTACCGGATCTCGACAAAGGACACATGGCGTGCGTTACTGGTAGACAGGGAATGCTTACTCTTCCATGGCACCTGATCCCACCTCTGATGTTTTCACAGGTCTGTGTTTGCTCTGCTCACAATCTGACTTAAGAATGTCAATTTCACTTGAATAACCTGGTCAAAAAATCGGGGGTAGTAAAGCATTCATTAAAATGGGTATGGGAATTCTGCTGGGTTTACTACATGGAGAAATACCGTGTCTTATGCTCATGTCAGTTTAACTTCAGGTCCTTTTCAGACTGCTTGTACACTCAATATTTAAATTAAGCTTCGTAACAAATAAAATGTATTTCTCATCACAAGTATTTGATTATTAAAAATAACTGTGTTTCAATTTAAATTACTTTATTACTTTTACCTAGGGATGTCAACGAATATTCGAACATTCGAATATTCATTCGATGAGTTGATATTCGATAAATTTAAGATTCGAATATTCGGTGTTTTACAGATTTTGTAAAAAGAAATACTGTGATTAATAAATTTTGATTAAATGAGAACCTAAGAATGTCTAAAAGACGTGAAGAGTATACTTAATATTAATTAATATTGTAAAGGGCTCAATTTCAGAATAAATGTGTAAATTACTTGATTATCTCTGGTTGTACATAATCCTGAATTTTATATTCATTATCAGTAAATCAATTAATTACTTAAAATTGTCTATGGAAATATTTGTTTATATTTTAAAAATATTTTCTCGAAGATTTTAATCATATCTCTTATAAGACTGATAATTGTAATTAATTACACGTATTGAAATCTAAACAGTATACGACTATCCTGCCTTTGGTAAGACGATTGGTTCCTCAGTTGGAGCTACTATAAATTCATTAT